CCCGTATGTAACATGGATACGAGCCAGTTTCCCTTAAAGAGTCCTCCCCGGAGCATACCTTCCCTTCCGTGTAGTGCTTAACAGTGGAGCACGTATTAATATAGAAACAGATAAAATTATCAACCATTTTTGTGTACAAGTGACTGAGTATTTGAAACGTATTCTCAAAAGTTCAAATTTTATGATATATAAATAATTTATATCTAAAATAATATTAATTCTATATATATGTAATTTTTATTGTATGTAAATCCCGACGTATCTAAATCATGTTTTCGAGACTTGAAAAACACTAGCTGATTTACGTCGATCGGAAGAAACTGAAACGGAAGATATAGAATTCCACCCCACCCCCCTCTTTTTTTTTTTTTTTTTCTTTTTGTTCCTTTTGTTCTCCTTGTATAAAGAAAAAGAAGTATTGTAATCATTAAAATTTTCGGTTTTGTATTTCAACGAAAATATCCATTTTGATTGCTCTCGAATCCACATGAATGATTTTTTTTTTTTTTTTTTTGCTTGACATCTGTACGTACAAACAGAGTATAAGACCCTTTTTTCGAAAACGAATAGTAAAATGAATTTAAAATGGATTCTTCTTTGTGACATCTATACGTACGTGCATACGTATGTATGTATCTTGCATAACTCATAAACGATTCACCGTAGAACATCGAAATTGTATAATTTAATCGTAGCCATAAAAGAAATAAAAAAAGAACCATACGCTATTGGCAGCGGGATGCCTTCACAGAGCGGCCTATTCGTAAAGGTGTAAATGGCCATAAAAGAAAGCCATCTGGTGACCGCATCAGACTTTTTTTTTTTTTTTTTCATACCTTCACAACAGTACTCTACCCAAAGGAGCCTTTAAGAACAATTTTCAGTTTGAGAAAGACGGCTCTGGTAAACCATTTTGCCAAGACATTGTTATATGTAAGTATAATTTTCATCTGTTTTAAACATCAGAACAGGAAACTATGTTTACAGCAGCACCTTTTCAGTACCTTGACGTGAAGTGATATGAAGCATATGAAGACTGCTTTTCGTGTTAGAGATCTTTTTGAAATGCAGATATTTTTATAACGGCGCCTTGGCATTAAAGTGCTGGAACCTTTATGCTCCTACACCATTATGAAAGTCTGTGTCTTCGCGAATATTGACCAATACAAAGGTGCCTCCCCATCTTTACGAATAGGCCGCTCTGTGAAGGCATCCCGCTGCCAATAGCGTATGGTTCTTTTCTGAATGACAGTTCTCAAGCGCCTGGTGAGCTTACACACGGCTTTGTTGTGATGTAACTTGCACTGGAGAGCAAACAAGAGATTCCAGGGAAGATTGAGGTGATGGTGTGTAATATACGAATACTTTCTTCTTCCTTTTATTGCCTAAACCCCTAACCCCCCGCAGAAACGGGCGAGTGACGGCAAAGGGAATATAAGGAAGTTTTGGATTCCCTCCTGTCACACGGTGCGTACGCTTTTGGGTGTCGCGTTGGTACCCAAAGTCAAGTGCCCGGATGTTTACCTTTTCCGCCCTCCCTTTATTTTTCGAGAGAAATCTTAAGAAGGAAAATAAGTTGAAATATAATCTGACAGGTTTTTGAAGCTAAGTCCGGGTTTTCAAGCAAAACAATTGTATGACACTTCTGATCAGGAGAAAAAGACCTTGGACATAAAATAAGATCTTATCTTTGATAAATGTCAAGGAAATTCATACCCATCATAGGATGATGTACGTAAATTGCAAATTGATGTTTCTGACAGGATCAGTTTTATGGCTTCACAGTTCTCGTAACATAAATTGATGAGTTGTTAAGTGTCTGGAGAACAGATCTTTCTGACATTGCTACGATCTCAGAAATGAGTAAAATATGCAAATTTTAGTACCAACGGTAAGAAAATGAAGCGAATGCAGTGTTACGCACAATATTCGCTAAGAGTTGTTGTTTATTAAAGCTATGTAACCACTTTTCTTATATAAATTTAAAAATTTTCGTATTTGTTTAAGCTACTACTAGTTTAAGTCCATGTTTGTCCATCTGGAAGACATTTTTACTTAAATTTGGGAAACGAAATTTTCTCTGAATAATTTTCAAATACGTAAATCTGTTTCTGTCGTCTGCCGTGTTTATTAGCATAATAGTCACACTCTTTTTGCCATAAAAGTCTAGGTGCGACTATTATGCGACTACTACATGATATTGTACACTTTTGACCTTTTCTTTTTTTTTGGCTTCAAAACGGGGGTGAGGGCGATAATTACGCGAGTAAAAACGGTAAATACCTATGGAGAAATATTTTCATTTTTGCTTTCTTGTGCGGAGTAAAGGAAGTATTGTAATCGCGAAAATTTTCTCGTATGATATTTCAACGAAAACCTCCATTTTGACTGTTCTCGAATCTAAGGAACGCCTGTGGTGTCCACACCAGAATTTTTTTCTTTTTTTTTTTTTTTTCAGTAGGAGATAGTATTTATACTTATTTATTTCCTAACATAAACATGAAGTATAGAACAAGCAAAAGACATTTATAAATACAAAAACGTAAGTGATGCCATTCACAAAAAGGGTAATGTTATTTTTAATAGTTCTCTGGCTTTGCCGCAACACCAGTACTACTACTTATGCCAAACTATCAAGATGTTTATCATCCACAATACATAAAATTTAAGGGAGACTAGCAAGACAGCACATAAGATCAAGCGACATGAGATCTTTAATTTATCCTTATGCGGCTTATAAACAAACAGTTTCTGGTGGATACGTCTCTTTGAAGGTGAGAACATGCTTTTCCGCATTACTGCTGCAAATAGCTGGTTACCGCAGTATATCAACATGGCGTAATATCTTTATTTTTATTTTCTAAATTATAAATATAGTTTCATAAAAAACTGAGAGATTTAAAAGCAATAACAGTACTTCTTAATTAGTTAAATCTTAATTTTACATTTCTGACCGTTTACCTACTTAATACAATGTATAGAACATATTATTAACAATGATTAAAGTAATATGTGTCATAACATATTCATTAGGTAACTTTTATGACTGTTTACACCATAATAATAGATAAATGACAATTTTAATGCTATACATTACGTACTCGGCACAGAATAAAGCATTTTTTTTTTATTTTTCTCTACTTTAATTTAAATTATTGAAAAGATATACCTTAGCTTGTGATTAGAATTGGGGAAACTATGGATATTGTTTCATACAATTCTGATTTCTTTTATAATTATGGTTTTTTGGAAACTGAAGAAATAAAAAAGCAGTTTTGGCTTAAATAATTTAAAATATTTAAAAACAGCATATCTTTAGAATTTCCAATGCACAGTCTCGCGTGCTGGAGATAAAAATGTCTTTTTTTCGCACAGTGCTGCCATTTCTCGCTTCGAAATTGTCGAGTTTGTTAATCAAAAATTCGTTAAAATTTTACAAAATACGAAATAGATAATAAAAGAAATTCCAAATTCGGGCTTCCAGACGCCCATATTCGAGTGGAGGAATACGTTATTCGGACTTTGTCTCTAGGTACCGTTGTTTGTTCACAGCGCGAGAAACATACATACATTCGTACAGATTCTTCATTATTTAATTTCTTTCAATATAATGCAGGACTCTAATATTTGGTGGCAACAACAATTTGAAAAGTGAAACAACGCTTATCGTGAATCGACGCAAAATGCCAAAACAGGAATTGATAGCCCCTCTGGGCAAATTGTCCCTTTGGGCTAAAATTATAAAAAAAAGGGGGAAAATTTTAATAGAAAGATTTTAATAGAAAATTAAATGATAAACTAAACGTTTTCTTTAAGATGTCAAGTAAGCAAAACTGTCTGTTTCTAAAAAAGAAGTTAAACTTTCATTGCAGTAATCTTTAAAATATATTGCTTCTTAGGTAGAAACGAAAGCACACTTTTTTTGGCTTAAGAGAGAAACAGACCGAAGCATTTTTATAAAATGAAATACTGCGTGTCTTTTAAGAGATTTACATTTTTTGATGTCACATTTGATTTTATTATGTACTACATATTTACACATTTCTTGATGCGCTGTATTTCTTCAAACTATGGATATGTAAATGACAATTCTTATATTCAGTATTTTAAATACTGAATATATTTATTCAGCAGAGAGGTTGTATTGAGCATTCGTTATTCTTTCTTTAAAGAGGTTGCGAATATTCAATATTAAGAATTTATCAGAATTATGTTTAAACGTACACAGTGTTATTAATTATATATAATTTAATAATAAAGCAAAATAAAATTATTACACATTACCTTCAATAGAAAGTAAATAAATAGAAGATTTTTCTTTCTTTGTCACCATATCGCAGTAAGGATGATATAATCTTCCTTAACATTTGAGTTGGATATTAAATTTGTTAAAATTTTAATCCATATAAATAAAGAGAAAATAAACTTTTTATGCATATAAAGATATAAAAGTAGTAGACAGTAAATAATAGAAAGTTAAAGAAAAAAAATTATGTTTAAAATATCCTAAAATACTTGAAATATCTCTAAGTAATTTCGAAATCGCACGTTTTTAGAAATTCGTCTGGTACCACTTCATTCGAACATTTCTCAACATTGAGAAATTGACGTCAACATTCATTTCATGGCAATTAAATAAGAGTGGCGTCATGATAAAAATTCGGATGACATAACCGCTTTCAGCGCACTTTTTATTCAGAAATTTCGGAGAGAAAACAAGTGGTGCTTAAACCAATTGTCTCGGTTCTTGTCGAAGTTGCGATTCGATGAAGCTTGACCAAAAATAAAAAACTAGATGCCTCTGTTTCCCAATATAGAAATTTCTTCTTCTTTTAAAAAATGATACTTGGCATGGCATGACGTGAACTGCTTCTCCGCACTGATCCATATAGTGAAACGTACTAAATGGCACTACTCACACAGCTAGATTTGTCTTTTGACTATATAAAGACCTTAGTGAAAAGGTGAACTTCATCCTGACTTAGTCCAACCAGTCTTTAAAAGAAGACATTATTCCAAGTTTTCTCTTACTTTCAAAGATAAAAGATGAAACCAGTAACTGTTGTAATTCTTGCAGCAATGTGCGTCATTATCTTCTGTTCGCTAGCATCTAGTACCCCTGCCCTTGAAGAAGCAAGACATCACCATCATCATGATCACCATGATCACCATCACGACCATCATGACCACCATCATCATGATCACCACGATCATCACCACCATGACCATCACCATCATGATCACCATGACCATGACCATCACCATCATGATCACCATGACCATCACCATCATGACCACCATGACCATCATCATCATGGCCATCATCATTGATACACTGGCATGTCTGCATTGGAACTCCAAAGAAGAAGTATTTAGCAGCTTCAGAAAATTTATTAAGTATTATTCAAATAAATTCTACGATTAGTTTAATTTTCAATTCAAAATAAAATAATTAAATTTCTTGTGTATGACTTTGCATTATTTTCCTAATAAATGAAGTGAAAATAATTTAGCTAATGCATCATAATATTTAAAACCTGGATGATTTTTAAAATTGAACCTGAATGATTTTAACACAGAAACAGTGTAGTAATGAAGAATAGATTCAGATTCAAACTTTTATTTATTTCTATGGCAAAACATGAGGCCTGTCTGCCTTGTTGTTTTTTGTTGATGTTTTCCTTCCAATCTAAAATAAACTAATATTCAATTTAGTCGGTTGGGAGAAGGCCGCGAAAATGATTCTGGAATTATATTTCATTTCGTTAGGAATGGAAACTTCGAGGAACAACAGTTGTCCAGCATTCTTACCTGCTTGGCTGTCTTGAAACAACATGTCTCAGACATCCATTACAGCTCTAATATTTTAAATTATTTTCTGTACAGTAGTTTAACATGGGATCAGTTCTTAAAGGTTTATCTCATTATAAAATATGTTACTAATAAATCATTTGTGATTACATTTAAGATTCGATGATTTTCTGTTAATCATTGTTCCAAGAAAATGCTTAAGAAATTCGAGCGAAAAAAAAATGGCTTTTTAATTAGCGTTAAATTCTATGCAAATACTTTAGAAATTCGAGTACTTCCTAATTATTTCCATGGAGGTTGATGCTAGTTAACCTCCCTTTATTATTGCTGTCTTCAACAAAACAAAACCTTGTTGATGTGTTGCCAAGTAAATAGAAACAAGGTGCAAATAATTATTTGGTTCACAGTTTTCATTAATGATTATTTAAGTACTTCGATTATTAAACTAACCATTTGCATTCCAATTTCACATTTGCTGCTGTGTTCATATAACATGGAAGAATGATTGCCAGAGCCTACTCCAAAGAGAGGTTGGAGTTCTGTTTTCCACCCCAGTTTTGAAGAAGAGCATCCTGGGGGGGGGCTATGAGGTTCTCCTACCACTCTCCCCTTCCAGAAAACCACATATGAGGACTTTTGGCTCGATGCATATTTAGAGTGCCCTGTGCCACACGGACACTATACATTTATAAACATCCATGTCTTCTCCGGGATTCGAACCCGGGCCCTTCGGTACAGCAGTAGGCTCCTGTAACCACTATACCGTCTGCACGACAATCTTACATTTAGAAATATGTTTAAACCTACATGTCTAACAGCATTTTATATGCGCGAATCCTTTTAAATAATTTAAAGTTGCAATTTTAGAAAATTTGCAAAAGCCTATTGCTGTTAAATAGCGTCTCAGACAGTACAACTGATTTAAATGATTTAAAGACAGCACCTTTCGTATTTTGTATCTAATGAGTTAGCTGTAGATAGTCTAACACACACGTACATCAGTCAACTTTTAATAATAGATACATTTGGTTTCATATAGCCGACGTTTGACATAATGCAAAATAAAGGATAATTTTAACCCTTTGCACTCGTTTGTCCTTTCTAAGTCTAGTATACTATTCGTATCTCCTCTTTCAAAGAGATATTAAAGTTTATTAGCGATTACACACTACCGTAACTCTTTGAAAAATCTATGTTTCCTTAGAGTTTTTTGTTGGAATGGCATAATAATGAAACTAAATATGGCTTATGTAGCAAGATATATAAACAGATATTAGACAATATTATGCCAGAAAAGAAATCCTAAAATTTATCCACGGATAGGTGTAAATTCTATTCTAAAGAAAGGGATAAAGAGCGTTTGTATAGTTATCACAAAATGATAATACAGTAAGTGGATTTCTTCATACGTTTCGTAAGGTTTATATAGTTTCAAAAAATAAAAAAATAAAAAAAAAAAAGCAATAAGTTGGGTTTATCTGATTATGACAAACCACTCGAGGGCTATCTGCCTAAGAAGAGAGATGCCTTTGTGGAAGACTTTTTGAGGAAAAGTGGCCCGTGGGAGAAACCATGAAAACACCCATGCAGCCAAGCCAGCCCATTTGCTTGGAATCGAACCCAAGGTTGAACTACCACTACTCAACGATTTTACCGTTCTGCCGCTGATGAGCTCCAATAAGTCTAATATGTAGTTAAAAAGAAATTGATTTTGAAAGCTAAATGTAGTTTTTGTTCAGATATTGAACAGTACAGATGGAGACTTTACATGTAAGCTGAATGTTTTTTGATAAACTTCATTCTGTAGTTTCGTAATACGTAATCTACATTTTCCCGAAAAAGTGTCGTCGAGTTGCTGGTAAGTAGATCAGAAGCGAGAAGGCTCCGAGTAGAAAGGGTTAATGTAATGTACTCTACAATTTGTAAAAGTCATTGCATTAAAAGTTAGACCATCTTTCTGGCACCATTCAGCACGTAAATTAGCATTGTATCTCTGAGATGTAGATGTGCTATTATTACCGCATTTTTTTAAATTCTATATTACTGTAAGGATCAGATACTTTTTAATAAACGTGATTTTTGTCAGTAACAAGAACGTGGAAATTTTACATTTAGAAGAATATTGCCACAGCGAAATTTTTAATTTGCTGATAATAATGATAGATCTTTGAAAAAAATTTAGTGAGTGTAAAGACTACAAATAAGTGTGGGAAAATATATTATTCTAGTGAAATTATTTGGTTCCTTCTTGTAGCATAATATATGACATAACAAAATGATAAGTATCGTATTTCTGATTAATACAGTATCGTATTTCTGATTAAGTCTCAGAAGTAATGAAGCGATTCTGTTACATTGTGAATGAGTATTTTTTGTATGCTAATATGGCGTATGCACTGTCTCAGATTTAGCTTTTTTTGGAAAATAAGACAGATTTTAAAAAGAAAACAAGAATGAGAAGCAAGAAGTATTTAATGAGACTTCTGCCTGCTAAAGGACAGGAATGGTTTCGTAGGGGGTTTTCTAATAGGACTGAGTTTGTGTTTACGTCATGCTGAACGAAAGTCCGCAATCACTCCATTGTTCGTTTATTTAGGGTTTAGTTTGGTTTATTTGATTATAATACAGCAATCGAAGGCTATCTACTTAATATTAGGGATGGATGTCTTCGTGGAGGACTTCCATGGAAAGGGAAGGGATGCATTCCTTGAGGACTTTCTAAGGGAGACTGGCTTAGTATACACGTTACGCATGGAGAAAACCTCGAAAACGCTCATTCAGCCAGCCCTTTCGCCGGGATTTGAACCTGGAACCAAACTACCAGTGTTCAGCGATTTTGCCGCTCGGCCGCTGGTGGTCTTCAGTCGTTTCAGAGATTTAGTCACGCGGGCAATCCAGAGTTTGTTTGTTTTACTTACATGAGGTAAAATACACAAAAGCTATCTCTGTAAGAAAGAGATATTTTTATAGAGGACTTTATAAGCAAAACTGGCTTATGTTTATATTACATTTAGGAAGAAGCAGGACCTAACAGAGGCAGGAAATTAAAATTATTGAAATTTTTCTAAAAACATAATTATAAACAAGAATTAATAATCTAATTCCTGCTGATCGTGGGTCTGAAAAGCATAAATCCTTCTCATTTAACTTTTAAAAAATTATCTCAATTGCTTGATTTCAAACAATAGAGCAAACAAGAAAGAGAAGAGGCAAGAAAATACTCGAGAAACCTAAAGAATGCAGATAATTCTAGCATGTGCATATTGAAAATTAGAAATTTCAGGAGCCTCGGCTATAGGTTTTCTAAGAGGTCACCTTCAGAGTAGATGGTAGATAATTGATCAAATTAAATCTTATCATTTAAATTTATTGATTCATTCTTGTTTAGCGGGTATCCGCAAGAGTCCAGTTCCACTGCTTCTTGTTTCTTTTTTGAAAAATAGTGATTTCAGTCGGATAAGTGTCCGGCTTCTGTTGAACAAGTGATACTGATAGGCAACCTATAATTAATGCAACGGTTATTTTAGAAGCTAGTAAAATTCGCTTTGGTATAAGCTACGAAATGTATGCACCATTTTGCTCCGTAAGAGGGAATTATGCGGGAAAAAACTCAAAATTTGTTTAGTGTGATTTATTTGATTACGGCAAAGTACATGAGGGCTATCTGCCTAAGGGAAGGGATGTCTTCTTTCAGGACTTTGTAAAGGAAACTGGCTCGTAAACACGTTACACATGGGAAAAACCACGTAAACGCCCATACAGCTAGCCCGTTCGTCAGGATTCGAAATCGGGGACCAAACTATTACTGTTCAGCGACTTTGTCCTCTCGGTTGCCGGTGGGTTCGGGAAAACTTGAGATATACAAAATAAATTCTTCACGAAGGGATTCCTCTTCTTGCGTAGATAACTCTCGAGTGTTTTGTCATAATCTGATATAAATAAATGAAATCTCTCATCTGGAAAAATCGATCTGTTAAAGAAGCGAAATCTCACTTATAGGCTTTAACAGTACTTCCTGAATCACTTCCTGATAAAGCTACAATGAGCTAGAATATAAATAATAGAAGTAAGGTGAAATTACATGTTTGGAAAGTTAAGTGCTTAATGAACAATATGAACAAGATACTATGTTTCAAATAATAAATGCAAGGAAAAACAAAATGGATGCATTGCTAATACAAAAATGCAAATACAAACTGCATACAAATGAATAAAAATAATCAAGGGAATATAATTTACCGAAAAATTAGTTCTTAGAGAGGAAAACTGTGTACAGCAGACGAAAAGGAAAATTATGCGAATATTTTTTTAACTTCCAAAATCTAGCGCTAAAAAGCTGGGGGGGGGGGAATAGGAGAGCAAATATGTTTCCTTTTATAAATCGTTTGCACGATGTATTGTCGTCATTCATTTTCTTACCTTGCATTTGTTTATTATTTCATTAAACTTTTGCGATATGTTCTTTTAAATGTATTTAGCATTTTATTTACCTATATTTATCATTTGTTTAGTTAAATTTTTAATACTTTTATTTATCTTTTCCAATTTATTTAATTTTAATTATTAGTTACTTTTTGTTTTATTTTTATTCGCCGTTCTTGACAGCCTTCCATAGGGCTCTGGCATTTCTAATTTTAAAAATTAAGCTC